CCAAAACATGCCCATTGTTTCCTGGTAAGAGAGTCAAGCTAGCAAGGACAACTGTTAGGGTTGAATAATTTAGTCTTTTGCGTTATAGTCAAATGATTGCACTTTAATGGGACAGTCATGACTCATTTGGTTCAAATTTTTTCTCTCTGATAATGTAGCTAGCAACAATTGTTTATCCTGGTCCAGGCATCAAATTTTGTTTTCTACTTCTTTTAGGCATTTTTTGTGTGTGTTTGTATGTAGTTTTATCATCTGTTGAAGCTATTGTTATTTTTTTTAACATCAGTTTGCAATTTGTTATATCTCATTTCTTGCATGTACTTGTTGCGTAAACTACTTGATTAGTTGATTATTAACTGTGGATTATTATTTTTTTTTAATTCTATGGAGTAGAGAATTGTATATAACTTTCCTATCTACTTGAAGAAATTTTTTTCTTTGAGCTCTGAGCTTGTTGTTCCCCACTTGATTGCTATTACAGGAAAATCTGCAAAAGTGGTTGACTGATGAAAAGGCTCGAGACCAGTTTGTGATTCGTTCTGGTTCAGATACTGAGGTTCTATGGAATGATGCAAGACATTTGAAGCCTGAGCCTGTTTACAAGCGTTCTGTGAGTTTACCACTTTCACCAGTGTGCTTTTGATAAGCTGATTTTTTATTTGCAATGATTCTTTCTTTGCAATTATTATCTATACAATGCTGCTGTCATGATCGGTGGTGATGTTTTGCTCGTTTTTATAGTACTGGACAGAGAGCTTTGTGCAGTGGTCCCCTCTAGGGACCTATTTGGCAACAGTTCATAGACAAGGTGCTGCTGTTTGGGGTGGTGCTACGACCTTCAATCGCTTGATGCGATATGCTCATCCTCAGGTGAGATTAATTTTCTGGTTCATAGTCAACTCTTTTCAACTTTGTTTATGGCTTTTTGCTTCAGTTCTAATGATACCAAATACAGGTTAAACTCATTGATTTTTCTCCTGGTGAGAAATACTTGGTGACCTACAGCAGCCATGAACCAAGTAATCCTCGAGATGCAAATGTACGCAGTTTTGTCCTTAAATTGCATTTGAATATTTATGTCAATTGTTCTATTGAATCAATTCCTAACGTGGGGCTTAATTTTCAGAAAGTTGTCATTAATATCTTTGATGTGAGAACTGGAAAAGTGATGAGAGATTTTCGTGGAAGTGCTGATGAGTTTGCCATTGGAGGAGCTGGAGGTGTTGCAGGCGTGTCTTGGCCTGTTTTCAGGTATTTAGCCTTGCAAGTGTCCGAGCTGCTTTCATCTTTTTTCTCCATATTCTCCTGATGATTGGTTGGTGACTTATTTATTTTTCCTTAGATGGGGTGGTGGGAAAGAGGACAAGTATTTTGCGAAAATTGGAAAAAACATGATCTCAGTCTATGACACTGAGACCTTTGGCCTTATTGAAAAGAAATCTTTGAAGGTTGAAAATGTTATGGATTTTAGCTGGTCGCCAACTGATCCCATTTTTGCACTTTTTGTACCCGAACTTGGTGGTGGTAACCAGCCTGCAAGGGTAAGTACTCATAATTTATGGTGAGGCCTTTTATATATTTTATTTCTCTTTTAATAAGCCCGGTTAACATATTCATACATCTTGCAGGTGAGTCTTGTTCAAGTCCCTGGCAAAGAGGAACTAAGGCAGAAAAATCTTTTTAGTGTTAGCGATTGCAAAATGTATTGGCAGAGCAATGGAGAATATCTTGCTGTGAAGGTGGATCGCTATACAAAAACAAAGAAGAGTACATACACAGGATTTGAACTTTTCCGGATTAAAGAAAGGGACATACCGATTGAAGTGTTGGAGCTTGACAATAAGAATGATAAGATAATTGCTTTTGCTTGGGAGCCCAAGGGTCACAGATTTGCTGTTATTCATGGTGATAGTCCAAGGCCTGATGTAAGTTTCTACACTATGCGAAGTGGTAACAATATGGTTCGGGTCTCGAAACTCACTACCCTAAAAGGCAAACAAGCAAATGCTCTCTTCTGGTCACCTGCTGGTCGTTTCATAATCCTGGCAGGATTGAAGGGCTTCAATGGCCAGCTGGAATTTTATAACGTTGATGAGCTGGAGACAATGGCAACTGCCGAACATTTTATGGCAACAGATATCGAATGGGATCCGACTGGCAGGTAACTTGAGTGATCTTTTTCCTGATTGCTTTTTGTATATTCTCTCATGCTTCTGGTCATGCGCTTTGTGTTTGCATATGTAGGTATGTAGCAACTTCAGTGACATCAGTTCATGAAATGGAAAATGGTTTCAACATTTGGTCCTTCAATGGCAAACTACTGTACAGGATACTGAAGGATCATTTCTTCCAGGTAACTTGAAGTAGTCTGATAATTGTGTTAGCTGATGTTGATAGTTTTGAGGTCAGTTGAATATGGGTTAACAGTACTAAGTTTCATACTCATAACTAACTAGACTTAAATATTTACGTCTGTTTTGCAATAGTTTCTGTGGCGGCCTAGGCCTCCATCTTTCTTGAGTGCAGAGAAAGAAGAAGAGATTGCGAAGAACTTGAAGAAATATAGTAAGAAGTATGAGGCAGAGGATCAGGATGTGTCGTTGCTTTTGAGCGAGCAGGATCATGAGAAGAGGAGATTGTTGAAGGGAAGAATGGGACAAGTGGGTGAACGAGTGGAAACGGTTGCACGAAGAAGAAAAGCTAGAGAGGCAGAAATTGAGGGATGGAGAAGCGAGCGATGAAGAAGAGGAGTACGAAGCAAAAGAAATCGAGGTTGAGGAATTATTGGATGTCTCTGAGGAGATCCTTTCTTTCGAGTAGGGAAGAGTGAGTTTCGAGGAATTTCATTACCCAGGAAACATTTGTTCAGTCTGATAACTTAGTATTTTGTTTGTAGGAAGCTTAATCTTTTTACATGTCCCATCTTAAAGTTAATAACTCTGATCGTGGTGGATCAAATGTTCAATTTTGTAATGGTTGTATTCTTTCTCTTTTCTTTCTTCTTTTCAATTACAATTCTAGATTCAACATCCAAAACATTTTTGGAGCTTTCTTTATTGGCTTATACAATATTAGGTTATGCTTGTAAAAAAATTCAAATTTTATGAAATTTATATTTCATTAGACTATGAAAGTTTTATCAATTTATTTTACATTTATATTAATTCAGGAAGGGGAATAAAAATATTGATTAAGAAAGCTGCTCCATAGTTGGAAAGTTTAGCCATTACAAAGTAATCTTGTTCTTAATCAATCCACAAACTCACTCTGTCCAGTAACATTTTGTCTAAAGGATCTCTCATTCTCTTTCACCCAATTATCCCACACCATAACAAAGAACAAAAGATCTTTACCACTCTTCCCATCTTACTCACTCCAGAGAATATATATATATATATATATATATATATATATGAAAATCTGAAAGTAAACTCTCCAATTCCAAAAACTCTTATAAACTCTGAAAACCTGCAAGTATGAAAATCACAATGGGGGAAGTATCTTTAACATGACATTTACAACTGTTTGGTTCTTGTCAATCACTGGCCTAAAGAGTCCAAGTATTTTATCAGAGGCAAAAGCATTAGCTGTTTACATTTGATTTCCAAATGATGCCAGGGGGAAGACTAAAACAAGAACAATTAATCAGACTAATCATACAAAGTAATGACACAAGTACATAACTAGTGGATCAACAGTGTTGAGATCAAGAGATAGTGGCATAAATCATATGGCAAATCGTAGTTCGACTAGTTATAGAACTTTGGATTCTCTCTCGAGACTTCACTTATAAACGTTACAGTTTC